CTATAAGATTCAGATCGAATTCCCTTCGTTTGCTGATGCCATTCCCCTTGAACTATTGTCTTCTTTAAAGAATCCCAACATTTGCCTCTGCTGGTATTGGCTCACTTGGTTGGGCGTTTTCCCCAAACCAAAAGGTGGCTGGGTCAATTCCAGGTCAGGTCACATGCTTAGGTCTGGGCACATACAGAAAGCAATCAGTCAATGTTTCAGCCTCATATCGCTGTTTCTTCCTCACATTGATGTTGCTCTCTTTCCCTTCCCCTTTCTCTAAAATCAAAAATCAAAAGATCCCCTGGTCAGGGCACATACAAGAATCAACTAATGAATGCATAAATGAGGGAAACAACAATTCGATGATTCCCTCTTCCTCTCTCTAAAAATCAATTTAAAAAATAAAAACATAAGCCCTGGCTGATACGGCTCAGTGGACTGAGTACCGGCCTGTGAACCAAAGTGTTGCCGGTTTGATTCCCAGTCAGGGCACACGCCTGGGTTGTGGGCCAGGCCCCCAGTAGGAGGCGTGTAAGAGGCAACCACACACTGATGTTTCTCTCGCTCCCTCCCTTCCTCTCTCTCTAAAAATAAATAAATAAAATATTTTTTAAAAAACCATAAAAATAAAAACAGTGGTGAAATATAAAACGTTTCCATGGCTTTGTAGCTAGGCAAAACTAGGCCTGGGTTCTGGTTTTGGTTAACTCCTTATAGGATCTCAAACATCTCATTTCACCTCCTTGTTTTCCTATTTCCTCATCTGAAAATTGAGAAAATAACAATATTTACCTCACAGGGTTGTTGTGAGGACTGAATGAGATAGTACAGAGCCTGACCTGTTGTTACTGACATTTTTCTTCATGTTCTTTAAATAATTTTTTTCTTGTCCCTCAGAGTTCCATTCCAAGTTGAAAGCAATTATTTTGAACTTAGAGAAAGGCTTTTAAATTTTATTTCTTACTGCTTTTGTTTCAAAATATCATGCTTCCTTTATGATAAAATAACTTCTCTTGAATTTTTGTTTGATATCCTGTGCCTCACATTTCTGTTTCTCAAACATCGTTAAGAACAGGAACATTTTAAAAATTGAAGTCAAGCATATTCAGAAGCCAAGTGTTGTCAGCCTCAAGTATCCCTGCTGAGCAAACCACTTGAGGTACTGCTGGCCTTCCCTGGTTTCTCTCTGGTGTTGGTTAAGGTCAGCCACTAGGGAAAAGGAAATTTAAGCTTTGGCCACATTGTATGGATTGTAATTGCAGTAAGAAAGGCCACCAAAGCAGCCCAGGCAGTTGTGAGTTAAATCCTTTCCATTTGAAAATTGCCAGAAAATTGACCCTGAGAACAAGGGTCATTCTCTTACATCATTATGCAACTTCGGGTAAGAACAAACTTAGTACATAGCAGGTACTTAATAATAACTTGCTGTGTGATAAGTATGACATATCCTATGTGGAGTCTCCATTTACCTTAGAACAGACTATTATGGACTAAATGTGTACATTGTAACTAATGTAACCCTGTGTTGGCCTTTCTTTATTTTCTAATATAGCAGAAATCTCAAAAACTGGTGCAAACATGTGCAAGTAAAAACACATAGAGCTACAAGCAGTTCTCTAAATGTGACTCTTCTGTCACCTCTATGAATTTTATGCACTTTTCCCTGGGCCAGGATCACAGGCCTCTCATATCCACCTACTCCTATCCTCAGCAATATTTTTCAGGACTACATCTTTCCTCAGGATGCAACCCAGGTATCCCATCCTTCCAGAAGTGCCCTGTATCTCCCAGTCTGGGTTCACAGACTCTCCTCTGAGTTTCATAGTACCTATCATATTCTTGACCACTCATCTCTTCCCCGCTACAGAGCAAATTCCGTTAGGGCCGACACCATCTGTCTCATCATGTGTTTTTGGTGCCTGCCATGAGGTATATGCCCAGGTTATAACAAGGTTCTGGGAGCCTCAAATTCCTAGGTATGTCTCCCCAGGGTGACAGCTGTTGGGAAATGCCCTGTCTGGTTTCAGGAACTGTAACCATGCCAACAGTTGAGTAGACCCCAAGACTGGAAATAATCAAGGAGGCCTTGGGAAAACAGGCCACTGAGGAGACAAAACCTTTCCCTCTGGCAAGGGGCACAGCCCCTGCCTCCCTCACATCACGCTGCTTGGCCCTGTACTGGTCGGTTGTTGATGACGGGTAAGTTTTCTCATGAGGAGAAACAACCTAAGACAGACATCAGCCGGTGTGGGCAGGGGGAGAAGGACTTGGAGGGCATGGAGAAAGGGCAAAAAGGCCCGCACCCCTCTGCTGGGCTTGGACATGGCCGGAGTCCTCATTCCCTCTGAAAGAAGTCTCCTTGTCTCTTGGCAGCTCCCTCCCTCCCACCTGGCTCAGGCTTGAAACAATACTGGAGACAGTCCCAAATTGGATCTGGCAATTTCCAGGGGAAATCAAGCCTAAAAGTAAATTCTTTAAGGTATGCTTTGTTTCTCCCTCAAAAGCAATAGCCAGCTCATGTTGGGAAGGAAATTTACATTATTCAGAGACCCTAACCCTATACCCTTTGGTGCTCTCATGTTTACTAGTTTCCTCTCAGACCATGTAAATCGGTGTGTTCCTGCCATTTGTTTTCTTCAAAACATCATCTATTCTCTGTGAAGATTAACATACTGATGTAATGAGATAACCTGTGCATCCCTGTTACCCAGCCCCACTGATAACCCTTTCAATAAAAGCCTTTGAACAAAGGGGCTCGGGACCTTCCCCACCAGAGGGAAGAGCCCTGTCCCCTCTCCTAGCAAATAGAGAAGTGTTTGCAACAACTCATATTTATTCCCCCCGTCTGTGACAATCCTGGGACGGGCTCTGCAGGATTCAAAGTCCATGCTCCCATCTCAGCTGGCCCAGGACAGTGATGCTCAGATCCTGGAGCACCGCCCTCCCCACGATGCGCTCCATCCCTGCAACAGTTGGCGTCTGAAGGACAAACAGTGAAGCGTGTGCCGCTAGCCCCAGACAGACAGCAGCACTGTTTTAGCGGGTGGATATGGTTCTAAATCTACACGAGTCAATCTCACTGATCAAACTGAAAGCAAGTCGACTGGGGAGAGACTGGAATACCACCCAGCTGTACTCCAGGGCAAAATCTTCAGGTAGTAAACTGTCATGGAAGTGAGAATATGAAAATGCTGGCACTGTGGAGGAAGTGATGTGTTTTGTCTTAGGCCAGACACCGTGGGGCATAGATTTCATGGAGCTGATGCAGGCCCTACTGATTTCCAGGCTATGCTGAGTCAGGGGGCCCCGCCTGGCACACAGCCTTCATTCACAAAATGCCCAGTGGCTAGGCCTGAGTTTGCCTTATGTGCTTCTGTGTTGCATCCTTTCTAAAAATGAGACATCTCTTCATTCCCATTGAGGTGACTGACCTTTTGCAATACAGTCAATAAGGAAAAAAAAAATTGTTAAATAATAAGCTATCCTTAACAAGGATTGAGACCTAAAAAAATTGAAAACTAAAGAAAATAATTTCAGATTATCCAGAAGACATCAATTAGTACTCTACTTTCATAGATTTTATGACTATTCTTTACTCCACCCAAATGATGACCACTTGCCTTAATGGCCTCAGGAGTTGTTATATGGGGTCCATAAAATGTTGCTGGTGTTCCCTGGCAGTGTTGGTGATCAAGATCATTGGCTGACAGAATTTGCACTGGAAACAGACATGTCAATTAGTCTAATTAATTCACTGGTGTAATTAATTATTTAACACATCTAATTAACTAACACTTTCACCTGCCAGAACCAGAGGTAAATGCCAGACTGGAACTTGATAGTCCTCCTCATTATACCCTAAAAAAATGTTTAGAGATACATCATGAAATAACAAATACAAGTGTGACACCCACTCACCCAGAGGTGGGTGGTGGGTATGTTGAGTCTCAAAATTGCCAGTGGCTGTGGAGAAAGGGCAGCAGGTGGACCACTTTGAGGTGGGCCATGGGGGAAGAAACATAGGTTTTATTATAAACAAGAAACTGGACCCATTTTCCTAAGTTACACAAGCAACACACAGGTTCAGGCTTATTTTGCCTCAAAGTTGTCAATACTTTGGGGATTTTTGGATACCTTTGTAACAAATGTCTATTTGGTAGTAGCAGTAGCAAGATTTAGAGTGCTGGATTAGTTCCCTATTCTCTTTTCTTCTCATTCTGTAAATTTTAGCTAGCCAAAATGGACTGAAGGAAGCCAGCTTAGAATTCAAGGGGTTTGTCCAAAGTGACTATCACCAAGAAGAGGAATATCTTCTAACAGTTAAGATATTTACATTTGATTCTTCACTGTGATGCACATCCTTACAGAGAAATTCATAGACATTATGAAATGCCTTGTATCTGCTACTGTTTCTACGTTTGTGAACATTTTAAGCTCTGGTTTGCTTGCAAGCCAAGAGACGCATGTTCTTAAAGCTCTTACCAGCATAGAACTTTAGCTCATTGCCATGGAAGCTGAGAAAAAAAGAGAGAGAAAACAGGATGAAGTTTCTTTAAAGTCTTCTAGATTTTTCCCTCCCCAAATTATACAGTAAGAAGCAGCTGAAAAGCAGTGAATTTATGGATTTCTTAAAAGAGACTCTCTATTTTCTGAAAACGTTAGGCCTTATTTTGTTATTCTACTTGGATTGACCTCCAACAGCTGCTTCATTGGATTTTATGGGCAGCCTAGGGTTTAGTGTAATGAAGCCCCAGGAAACAGATTTTGTTTAATTATCAGAGCTTCTGTGTGAATTTGAATGGGCAGAGTTCGGATGAAGAGGCATTCTGAGGTCACGACTTTTATGTTTTTCTTACTTGTGAACTCAGAATCAAAACAAGTTGGCGAGGGGTAGGATGGGGTGAGAAAATAAAATGTTCAGGAACCGAAAGTTCTCACATGTACTGGACACACTTTTGAGACAATGTGGTGGAGTTATTATGGAAACCAATGAAGGACTTGGATTTATATAAAGTTGTCCAAAAGTACATTGGTGTGCCACACCAGACCCTTGCTGGGGCCAAGGTCAGAATGAGGGGAAAGTGCACTGGTCAACAGTTAACAAACTAGCCAACCTGGTCGATGAGATAGGATGCCACACCTTCAAAGGGGCCTATCTTCTTAGGGAAGTGTTTCTTGGAAAGCTGGACTATAGTATAAAAGGCCATGTCAAAGAATATTTTTCTGAATTGGTAAGGGAGTTTGAATGCTAAGAGGAAAGTTCCATTAGTGATTTTAGAAGAAAACATAGACTTTAAGGGAGGGTTTTATTCTAACTTGGATTGAACTATTATGATTACCCTATAATTTAATAGCAACTTACCATATATTTATTTCCTGACATTAACTTGAGAGTGACTATCCACACAGTACAAAGTATGGCTTCAATTTTACCTGCTTCCAATAAATCCATGGGATCTGACAGGAATAAATATGTTGGGTAAGTAATTTCAATTTTTTTATTTATTTTGATCAGATGGATGTTCTTTGGATTTTATATTAAATGTTCAAGAGATAGAACCTCTACAAAGTTTCTTAAGTTACTTAAATTTCTTAAGTTTACAGTGAGTTGGAACAGAGCTCACAATACAAAGCAAAATAAATACAATGCAAATCTTCTTTAATGACATTTTCATTTCTTGGTTCTTTGAGGAATTTGATTCATCTAAGAAAGTGAGGCAATCTGCCAATTATATCTCAATTATTTTAAAAGTGAAATAAGCTCTGGCTGGTGTGACTCAGTGGATTGAGTACTGGCCTGTGAACCAAAAGGTGGCTGCTTGGATTCCCAGTCAGGGCACATGCCCATGTTGCTGGCCAGATCCCCGGTTGAGGTCACATAAGAGGCAACTGATTTTGATGTATTTCTTACATCGATATTTCTCTCCCTCTCTTTCTCCCTCCCTTCCCCCCTTCTCTAAAAATAAATAAATAAAATCTTTTAAAAATGTGAATTTTAAAAAAGAAACCATGCAAAAGATTAACTAACTTGCATGAGCGAACAAATTCAAAGTTCAGCCTGGAGTTCAGACTTTAATTCCAGGACCATGGGCTGAAATGTCTGAGAAATAATTAAAGGGGCCTCCAGTGCCTCAGGGAGATTTAACTGTGTTGCAGCATATTACAAAGTGATTTCATATGCTTTGTGATAGACTTTACATAGAATTCACTTCTAAAATACCATGTATGTTATTCATCTCAGGAGTGGACATAAATCTGCTAAAGCTGTCTGCAAATTTAGCTCCAATTCTTGTCCCAAGTTCACAGAACATAATAGAGCATTAATCTTCAGGAGGCTTAAGGAATTTTTGTGCGTTTGCTCTCATTGGCTGAGTGGTATCAGATGCCTTGCTGAAAGCCTCCATCATGTCACTGTTGCAGAGAGTATTCCACCTACCCAATCTGAACAGAGCATCCTTCTATCATGTTCATTTGTTCAGGGAAATCAAGGAAAAAGACAAGGAAAAATTATGAAGAGGAAGGTAATGCTAAAAAGAAAAAACCTTTTTGGCCGTCTCTTTTCTCTGGTTAATACTGACCATGTTGTGTCACAGTTTGCTAAAAGACTATTCCCAACACCACCTTTTGGCCCACGTTTTAGAAAAAGGAAAGAAAATGAAACACAAGATTGAGAAAAAAAACAGTGCATGTAGCCTATTTAGTAAACATTTTGTGTTTTGGAAAGATTGATATATTGTAGTTGTCAGATTCATACTGGATCGAATTTGGCATAATATCTTAAAGGAGTCTTTGCTAAATGATAGAGGGATCATCTTAGAAGTGCTTTTGATGAGCCCGAAGGGATACAAATCTTCTACAGACATGCCCTCTTCCCCCCTATTTTCTGACCAAGGGATCATTAGCTATTGAAACAGATCATCAAGGAAAACTAAAGAATATCTCCTAATGAATTAATACGAGTATTGTAATTAATACGAGAGAATATAGTGAATGGTTTGAGAATTTCTTTTGGAAGACAGGAAAGCTGGAGTCCATCAGCGATATTAAATATATAAAGGCCTGTATCTCCTTGACAATCTGAATCAGAATTTCTAGGTGTGGGGCTCAGGTACCAGCACTTTGTAAAGCACCCCAGGTGATTCTGATATGGAGTCAGGGTTTTGAATCACTGGGGTAGATGAAGGACACTCTTTTCTAGAGTAAGGATTTATAGATTCAGTTGGGAATCCAAAGAAAAATCTCTAGAGAGGAAAAGCAGTTTTGGCAGAGTCAAGCAAAGTATAAGAGCAGTTGGAAGAGAAAGTGGATGGCAGTGTTTCTCAAGCTTTAATGGGCACAGAAATTGCACAAGAGTTGTTTAAAAGACAGATTTTGATTCAGTAGGTTTAGGGTGGGGCCTGAGATTTTGCATTTCTAACAAGTTTCCATGGCAATGCTGCTGGTTTATTGACCACATTTTTTCCTACAAGGGATTACTGGTAAATGTCCTCTTGCCCCTCACCAGGAGAAGAAAGGAGGGGTCCTTTTGCTTTGGGGCTTTGAGGCTTGTTCTGAAGTAGGAAAGTTTACTAACAGCATGGAATACTTTATTTTTGAAATCCACCATGATCCACTGACTAATTAAGAATCTGTTACCCTAAATGTTTTTGAGGAGAAAATTAATAGTATTCTGTTCCACTTACTGAACAGTCCAATTTAATTCAACAAATATAATTTCTTAAGACTTGGGGATTAAAAAAAGATATATGAGACAGCTTGCATGAGGAAATTCACAATTTTTCTGGGGAGACAGAAAATTAGCACTTGAAATCTTATCTCTCAGCCTAGGTGTGAATTAAATGCTTTAGGTGCACAGTAGTAGATGGGAATTCATCTGGACTGGGGAGGGAAGATGCTTGGGAAAGCCTTCCTGGAGGAGGTGATATTTGAATTTGACGTTGAACAGTGAATAGGATTCTGATCCATGAACAATGGAGGGAAAGGGGAAGGGTGTTTCAGGAACAAAGTCCTCAAGAGGGATTCTCAATTTTGATTGGCCTGGAAAGATCATCTGGGAAGATTGAAAAAATACTTTGAGAGTCTAAATTCGCTGGGGCCTCGGCACCAATGTTTTTAAACTATTTTTTAATGGTTGGAGATCACTGGAAATAGAGAAAAATATAAAAGTTTTGTTAAGATGTTTAGAGGGAAGTGGAAGGAACATAGAGCAAAGAAGTCAGGCAGCTCTTGGCAAAGATGACTTGACCCACTGTGGTATGACAGATAATTTATCGCTAATAATTAAAGTAGTATATAATCACTACTGTAATAACCAAAGACAATCAATTCACTATCTTGCCTCATTTTACTGAGTGAGAGGAAGGGTAGTAGCCCAACTAGGCTCATACATTCCTGAGAGCAATCTTGCAAAGCAGTTATTATTTTCACTATACCCATAGTACAGATGAGGAAACTTTCAACAAGCAAAGATAAAATTACTTAGCCAAAGTTGCACAATTTGCGTGTGTGTGTGTGTGTGTGTGCGTGTGCGTGTGTGTACACACTAAATGAACTGGTAGTGGAACCCAGACAATCTGACTACAGATCCCAGTAGCTTATGTTACACAGCCTCCCATGCAGAGAAATAAAATGACCACTAGGGCCAGACAGAACTGGATAGAACAGAGGGTTTTGTAATCTACTGATTGTAAAATCTTGCATAAATTTCTCAACTTCTGTAAGCCTTGGCTCCTTCATTTGTACTTTGGATTAGTTAGTATTGCTTACCTAATAGAACGGTTATGGGATTGAATGATGTAATACATTTATTACATGTTGTTTTTATGGCAGTGTGCAGTCTTCGTGCTTAAGGCTATGCATATGTGTGCAGAAAATATTAGCCATTATTATTATTGGTGTTGTTTTTATTATAATATAATAATATTTGCTTCTCAGTAAATCATTTAATCCTAAATGTCCAGTGTTTGGACTAGTGATTATCATAAGTGTAGACAGATATCTTTTCTCTTTTGCATGACTTTTCTCTAAATTTCTTTACATCTTCTTCATATTATTTTTCCCAGAAAAAGATTTGTTCATGTTAAAAATCCTTACCTGGATTCTATGGATGAAGACATTCTCTATCACTTGGATTTAGGAACAAAAACACACAACCTACCGGCAATGTTCGGAGATGTAAAGGTAAAAAAACATTTCGAACTTGAGGGAAAAAGAAATGTTTTTCTTCTGCTGATATATCTAATTTTCCCAACACAAACTTTACCCAGTCAGTTAGCAAAATGTCAGAGGTCCCACTAGGAACTGAAGTCATTCTCATTCTCTGAAACAATTTAGAATTGTGTATATCTTGAACAATCATTTCCACCCCAACAAGACATAAAGGTTCTCAAACTAAATTTAATACAGACATGATTATTTGGCTGCTCTGGTTCTTAGAGATAAATACAATTTCATTGACAATACTGCTGGGTGCTGAGAATTCATTACAATTCAGTTCACTGTTTAACATCTGCATTTGGAGCAGAACTTCACTAATTCACATTTTATTAAAGCACACCATAGCTCAACAAAATTAACAATGCTATCTTAAAAATAAACAGTATTCAATATCTCATGTTATTAAGATTTTTGTTATTTCATAAGAAATGTTATAAGAAAATTCTTTATAGAATACTGCTAGGGAAATTGTACTTCTCTAGTATTTACTTTGTCATATATACATAATACATGATATACATGATATATATATGTGATTATGTTTATAATAAAAGTAGCTCATGTCCATTATTTAAGATTGAAAAAAAAATTTTTTTAAACCCAATCATTTTTAAAAATACACCTAAACACCCCTACCATCTAAACATGGACAACAACCTATTTTCTTTTCTTCCAATCCTTTTTAATAAATAGATTTTTAAATAATGAGAATTATATAACTTTGCATCCTGAATTTTTCACTTAACTTTATATCATTACCATTTTCCCAATATTATGACGTTTTCTTTGAAATACATTGTTTATGGATGTCAGTGGCTGCCCCACACATTATATATTCTACTTTCTATTTTTATGTAAAAATATCTTCTATTATAAGCAGCACTAAAATGGATATTTTTGGACCTAAAGATTTTTTACATTTAAATCTATTTGCTTAGGATGATTCATAGAAACACTCAAAAGGAATAAACTTTTTAAAGAATTTTTGTTTTCCAAAAGGCCTATACGTATTCACAGCCCCACCAGGAGAGAGTTGTGCAGTTTTCATCTAACTTTTATTCACTTCTTTATCAATTACAAACACAAAAAAACAAAAAAGCTTTTATATCCAGTCTCACTTAATCTTTATATTAGTTCTTTTAGGTGGGGTTAGCAAATATTTATTTACATTCTCCATAAAACAAGGAAATTGAGTTCTGGAAAGCAAGGGAAGTTAACAAGGTCCAACATACAGTGGCAGAGCTAGGACTTGGAGCTCACTTTACCTACGTGGATTTTTAGAGTCACAGTAACTGAGAATAGTCCATTAATAGGGAATGGGCATTGGAAAAAGGGGAGGAAGATGAGAAGGAGGTTAGAAGGATAAGAAGGAGGAGAGGGAGGAGATGGGGGAGGAGGAGGAAGGAAAGAGAGAGAGAGAAAAGGAGAGGGGGAGAGAGAGGGAAAAGAGGGGAGAGAGGGGGAAGGGAGCGAGGGAGGGAGGGAGGAAGGAAGGAAAGAGAAAGGAAGGGATAAAGAGAAGAAATCAATCTATGTTGTTCTTTAACAGTGGGAGCTACATCGCTCTCATCTCTCCTAGGGCACAATGCGGGAGGGTGTGGGCTGATTTGACAGGACTCTCCCCTTCCTTTCCCCAAGACCCTCCACGCTGCCGCCCCCTGTTTTGTAGCGGCCTCTCTCCATATTGGCTTCATCTTCTCAATGTCACCTCTCTCCTCACTGATGTTTCTGATGTTTCTGCTCCAAGAGTCATTGAAAATGCTGTCTCTGTTATTCATTAACCAGACTTTACCTGAATTCAAATGTTAAGTTTGAAGTTCATACCTCACAATGATGTTCCCAGGACCTTTATCTGGGGGTAACTCCATTATTTAAGATTGAAAAAAATATTTTTAAAAACCCAATAATTCTTAAAAATACACCTAAACACCCCTACCATCTAAACATAGATTCATTATAATTAATAAACTGGAAAGACTCAGGATATGTTTTTAAGACAGAAAGTCTTCTATTATCTACATTTCTAGTGCTTTCCATGAATTAGACTCTGTATTAGGCACAGGTACATGGTACATTATTTGAACCCCGTGAAAACTAAGGTATTTGTTATTATCCCCATTGTACAGATGAGAAAACTGAGGTTCAAACATATATATATATAAAATGTTACAACTTATCTGTACATGTTATAAATATGGTATAGCAGTACATCTGCATATCTGTACCTATATTTATATTTATCTATATCTATCATCTATCCTTCTATATATGTAATAGGCCTAACACAGAGGGGAAGTGAAAGAGCTGGGACTGAACCTTAGGGCTTCTCTGATGAAAAAAGTAATGGCTCTTCTTTATTTGAAAGAAAAAGAACACTACATTTTGGTACTCCAAGTGTCAGTTTCTGGGAAATCACTGCAATGGAAATCTTTGTTTCAGACATGAAAATAGAAGGACTCACACATATCTCCCATACACACACACGTGCGCGCACACACACACATGTACAGAGGCAGAGTTACCTCATCTTGGTTACAATCCCAGAAATCAGGCCTTAATCTCTCTACTTGACTAAATTTTCATCAGCACTATTCTCACACTCTGCCATAACCACTATCCCTCCTTATCCACTATGTACCTGGTGGAAACCTCTTCTGTTGATTCTCTTTTGAATAAAAAAGGATGCTCTGGTTTAGAACCTATTTTGTCCTACCAGAGAGCAACTCTATTGATTGGACCATTTGGATGGATAACAGGCAAAAGTGTGTGTGTGTGTGTGTGTGTGTGTGTGTGTGTGTGTGGCTTGAGAAGTAGGTCATGCAGTTCAAATAATTAGAACTTGCTGTTTGACCATTCTTTTAGAGGTAGCAGGTAAAGCCTGCTTTATATTCAGAGGTGTTTTCTTAGAAACTTGCCTTTTTTCAGCCACATTGTTATTTTTGAATGAGAACATGCTGGGTTCAGTTTCTTGATTCCTTGAATCCCAGGGCAGCAATTCTAGCTAAGAAGAGAGGCCATAAGCTACCAGCGCCTGAACACTCAGCCTTGTCTTCACAGAGATGATCATCATTATTAACAGCATTATTTTCTAAGGAAAGGAGAACTCCGGATGTGTAAAATTTAAGGCTTAAAGATTTTGACAATAATTCCTATTTTTTTACCTACCACATTTTTAAAGTTTTTTGCTAGCCAGTACCTCGAAATATCAGTGGTTTAGCACAACATAAGTTTATTTCTTATTTACATTGAGTACAAGGTGGGTGTTCCCAGTTGATGGGTGGCTTTCCTCCAACTGGTGATTCAAGGACCCAGGCTCTTTCCATCTCGGTGCTCTGTCACATTTGAGGAGTGGCTTGCAAAGTTTTCCAGAGAGTCAACACCTGTCCAGCAGACAGGAGAAGACAATCTGCAGGATCACCGATGGGGCATTTCTATGGGCTAGGACAGGAAGTGGCACCCATCACCTCTGCTCACATTCTAGTGGCTGGAATGCAGCCATATGGCCTTATCTCATTGGAGAGGAGGTTGGGAAGCTCAGTTTAGTTGTGTGCCCAGAAAGAAGGAGAAACAGCTTTGGTGAACAGATAATCAGACTTTGTTGTACTCACTGGAATGAATCAAGCAATTAAAAAATACAATGGAAGAGCATTAGAAGTTATTTACTCAAACTCAACATTCAAATATGTCTTTTATAAAATTACTGACATATCCTCCAGTCTCTCGCTAGAAATTTCAAGTAACATGAAAAAGAATTACCATATAACACTCTGTAATATGCATTTTAAAAATGCTTATACTTCTTTGTAAATATACAACATACATAAACTGCAATAGGACCAGGTTAATACAACATGGCAAAGGTAAGTCTTTTAAGATAGTAGGCACATTTGAAAGTGATTTAATTCTGGCAATACATAGCAGAGTCCTTAACACATTTTTTGTAATACTGCAGGCTCTTTCCCAATGCACTTTTATCTTCTTTGATAAAACCAGACAAATGGTAATTTTGTTTAGAACATAAATCACAGTAAGTGTCACATAAGGTCAGTGTTGCTTGGTGGTCCTCAGCCACATTTTACTTCTCATTAAAGCAGCCAGACTTAAAATTGTGTCTAGAGGTGATACTTAGTAAGTCTGATTTAAGAGTAAGGCTTCAAAAATAAAAATGCTTCTGTCTATACCTACCATCTTTATGTCACCAGAAATATCCAGAAATTCCTGTTGATTACAGCGATACCTAGAGTTCACAGAATTCAAACTGTAAGCTATTCTAGTATCTGTTTTTGTTTTATGGTCAATATAAATAGTTGTCATTTATATTCACTGGCACCACAAAATGAGATTATTTTCAAACTACTGTAGTTTGTAAAAAGGAAGACAAAACAAAGCAAAACCCTCTTTGTACTCAGATCTTGAACTAAGTCTTAATTGTCCATACCAATAGAGAGAAAAATTTCATAAGTAATCAATAATAGTTTAAAAATTCATTTTAGACCATGGTCTTACTCTCTCTGCTACCTGGCCTGTATGGCTGACTTCCAATGTAGTTCATTACCAACTTTAAGTAACCCCATCAGGGAAACTTTTCAGAAGCCACAGGAAAGACAGTAATGAGGGTAGAAGAGAAGTAGAGAGGCTGGATAAAAGGATAATTATGTCTCATAATTGAAAATGAGTGTGGCATAGGAATTATTGCTAAATGGGAACAGAATGCACCATGAAATCAGACCACTGAGCAGTGACAGTAAATCATTTGTGAGTGGGGGTGCCATTGTACAAGTTCAGTGAGGTATTTCCTTAGCCAGATATTCCCTCCCTGTGTGGGACCTCACCAGCAGCCCTTCTGATCCTCCACCCAGTGCTGCCCACAACAGTCGGTCACCACCAACTGCCTTTCGTTACTGGATTTGAATAAACTTCATTTCTACTGAATTCCGCAATACAGAAACAATACACAAGCTCAAAAGCAACACCAGGAAATTGCTACATGAGCTGACAAATAGTATTGTAGTTACCGTTTGCTGAATGCTCAGACCATGCCTGGCTTTGTGCCATGTCCTCTGCCATCGTCAATCCTGTTTTATCCTCACAAACGCACCCGAAGGGTACTGTGGTTTTCTACTTTGGAGATGATGATCCGAGGCACGTAGAGATTACGTCTGTAACACTAGCAAGTTACTTAATCAGTGATGGGGTTGGGGTGCAAAGCCAGATTTATCCCAAAGGGCAGGCCCTTAACCACTGTGTTGCCTTACCTCTGACTGAGCTTCCTCAGACTGTGCGCCTCACCGATTAGCTTAGGTTCCCTAATGGCTTTGCGCCCCACGCCTTTCTGCGGCTGTGCGTCCTCAGGCCTCTGACATCTGCTGCCACTCACCCTCCGCACTGCTGGCCCTGGCACTCCCCAGGCTGGCTGCTCACCCATGCTGCTGTTAGCCACTCGGGCCTCTCTGACAGGCACCTCCCCGCCCCTGGGGCCGATGGACCCTGATGGGCTCTTGCACAAGAAACTCCCAGACAATTTTATGACCATATTTTATTAGATTTGACTCTCTTGACTACAATACTTATTGCAATTTCAGAGATGTTAAAATGTGAACAAAAGAAAGCGAAAACAAATTATTGGAGTTGATGAAATACTGTATGAGATTTTAAATCCACAACAAGGCTTGCTCCATGAAAATTTCTCCTGAGTGAGAGGTTGGGAAAGTTTTGATGTGATTAATTTTTTAAAACTTTAAGTTAACATAACACATTTTACAATAACAACTTATGATTGGGAACGTAGGGTGACAAAACATATGTCAACCTCACAGTTCTCCTTTTGTTCTCATGTTGCTTACTTTTAATGTGCTTGGTATGTACATACTAAGCATATAGCCTGTTAATGCCCAACAATAGCCTTGCTGATATCAGCTAAGAGCTGGTTGATGTTCACTGTGAACTAAAACACCAGCAAACACCAGCTGGACTAAAAGCAACAGTTAATTTGATTTTGCGATGATCTTTTTCTTTACTAATGAAGCACATCACACTTTGTGTCTGGTTGCCTTATTTACAGGTAAATGATGCAAATTAGTTAACTCATGAACATAACCCATAACATCCACACATACTCTTAAGTCAATTAATGAAAAATAAAATAAAAACATGTCTAATGTCAAAAGCTGACCCTCAGTTTTTATCCCAGTCATTAAAGCAGGTCATTGTCTATTTTTGTTAACAGTTTGTCTGCGTTGGTGGGAGCCCCAAGAGAATGAGAGCGTTTGCACTGTTCATGCAGAAGGAGCTCGGGCTGGAGGGAAGCGGGGAGGACGTGGAGGACCTCTGCGCTGGGACCGATAGATACTGCATGTACAAAACCGGGCCCGTGCTGGCCGTCAGCGTAAGTGCTCCGTGGCTGCCCGCCGGCGGTCACCGCAAACTCGCAGAAAAAGAGGGGGCTTCTGAAGGCACGAATTTTTTTCCCTCCTGCTTTGTCTTCTCCCACAATTAAATTAAGTTTCCAGGTGTGACATTCACTGTAGGAAAAAGCCCCAGGGGCAGAACATTGCATTCCAGTGTCCCTTTGGTTTATTAGTTGCCACTTAGCCACTGAACACATGAACAAGGGCGCATGACAGCAGTGACATGGATTTACTATTTCATTTGGTATGGTGTGGGAAGGGACAGATTTACATGGCAGCCGAATTTATATTTCCTCGAAATCGAGTCGATCTTGAGAAAAAGCTCTCCTTCAAAGGCTCACTGTCAACAACCCAGGGAGGAGATGAAAAATAGCTGTGCCCTGACATCCCAGTGCACCGCGCCATGGCCTGCTGCCGCGCCATGGCCTGCTGCCGTGCTTGATGGTGAGGGCTGAGCCCAGTTCAGCTGGCAGGGAGATGCTTCTCTCTGATCCTCACAGATGGACACATCTATCAGCATGTCATATAGGCGTCAGTTAGAGCTGACTTACCGTTTCCTCAGCTTTCGCAAAGTCATAATGATTATGTAAATGTATCTGAGGGCTGTTAACTTGTAATGAAGAAAGAAACTATGTCCTGTGCATGTGTCAGTTTGTGTAATGACTTTCTCTTTTCTCTCGACAGCATGGCATGGGGATTCCCTCCATGTCTATCATGCTTCATGAACTTATCAAATTACTGCATCACGCCCAGTGCTCTGATGTTACCATCATCAGAATTGGTACATCAGGGGGAATAGGTGAGATGCTTGATTTCTAGTATTATATCATAGCAATTGTCCCATACAGAATAGTTGCAAATATACATCAACATATTCAGAGCCCAGCAGAAAACCAGATGGGCTAAAAAGTGTCAGGCGGCTAGGCTTGAGGACATTTAAAGACATTGAAATTTAAAGAAATTAAAAAAGATATTTCATTTTTATCTTCCTTCTTTCTCTCCATGGAAACCTGGAGTGAGAGATCCTGCCAACCTGTTGCCCACATAAACTTAGGTGTTCTTAAGGGAAAGAGTGAAAGAATTGCTAGGAAATATATTTTGAGGATAAGAGTAAGTTTTGAGGGTTACAGTAAATTTTGAGGTGTTAAGAGTTTATAAGTGACAGAAATAAGTGCTTTCAATCACTGATAATTGCCTTTTTTGTCAGCTAAGTAAGCAGACCTCATAGCTTTTAGGAAAATATTGCTTTAAGCACATGCTGATGACTACATCCATTTCCTTGGCTGTGTTTTTTCCTCACCAACACGCCAGAATAGACCAAATAACTTTTAGGGAAGGACCAACTGATGCTTCCTAAGGTTTTTCCTAAGCTTCCCTTCTCCCTACTTCCTACCTGGTCAGGCAGCTGGTCAGGGGCCTTGCTTATGCTTCCATATTGATCTGAGGTCAAGTTATAAGGAAGCCTTCTTTTTCAGCCTTTTCTTCCAGAGCAGATCTTGTGAGGGAGTGATTGTACTCTGTCACCAAATGCAAATATAGACAGAGCATTGTAACTGGAAGAGTTTGGTTGACAGAGTGACTGGACTGAATGGGAACAATAAAAAAGGCTCAGATTTTTGTCGTAGAACTACACGTTTTTGGAGTAAGAATGGACCTTCAGAAATCCTCAAACTAAAAAACTGGAGAAGTGACTTGTCCAACATCACAGAGCTACATGATTCACTAAAAACAGACATGTTTGAAAAGATTAAGCACCTTCCAAAGCTGTAGTACAGGAATAAAGTCCACCCAAGGCTCTCACAGATGAAATTAAAAAAAAAAAAAAAGACATCTGTGGATGTACATCCAGAGAGAGGAGAATGTTAGCAATCATTGCTAGATTTGGCATCCTTCTGGATACCCTTCTTTTGGCTTTGGAAATAACTAACACATATAAATATTGGGAAGGCATCATTTTCATATTCACATTTTCAACTTTGTTCTCAGTCATTTTCCTGTTCTTAGGGCATAATGGATAATTCAAGGAGCCACTTGTTTGACTTAATTAAAAAATATCTGACCCACCAAAGGTCTATCATCAGAGCTCATCTTGGGTCCCTTGGTGAATCTCCTAAATTAACCCCATGTTGATCAATCTTAGAATTTATAAAAACCCAGAAGGATATGGCTGTGTTCTATAAAGGGCCCGAGAGTGAATATTTAAGGCCTTGTAGGCCATGTTGTTTTTTACTGCAACTTCTAGCCTCTGCCATTGTAGTATGGAAGCAACTACAGGTATGTAATGAGTGATCATGGCTGTGATCCAATAAAACTTTTCTTTGGCTCATGGATTGTAGTTTGCAGATATTTGCCCTATGGTATCTCTATGGAAGCATTCACTCACTCAACAAATCCTTACAGAGTATCTACAATGTAATAGGCATAATGCTAGACCTGGGGAGACAATAGTGAAAATGCTCTTGTCTTTATAGAGCTTATGTTTAATCAGGGCATAGGCAAACACATGAGTAATTATAAAAAGTAAGATGAATGTTAGAATAGTCTAGGGCACTATCATCATATGTTCCCTTATTTTGGCTCTAAAAAGAAATCAGCATGGGTCAAACACTAGGTCAAATGCTGGGCCTGGGGAAATTTAATTTAACAACTGTGTTGCCTTATCATTTTCCTCCTTCATGGATTCAGACCTTTTAGGAAGTAACTTAAGCCTGCTCCTGAAGCATGAGTTGGTGTTAGTCTGATGAAAAGTTGTGGGGGAGGACAAAAGAACATTCCAGGCAGGGAGAATAACCGTTGGGAGAAGATGGTTGCTCAAGCCCCTGTGACTTGATTTACTAAGTCCCATGAGCAAGCCAGACTCTGTAGCAGTGGAAGGTCAGCGAAGTGGCCTAATTTGCATGGTGTTGGAGAGGGGAGGAGGGATGAATGTGATAAGAATCAGAAGGAAGAGAGGATAGAGATGCAAAGAAATTATAGTAATCAAGGAGTTGCAGAGAAGATTAGCTATCAAGTAGTCACATCACTTTGTGAAAGCTACTTGCTGGCAGGCTCATTTAGTCCCGACATAATTTATTCAGATTTGAGCTGGAAGGCCAATACTAATTTGCATGTCCAAGAGTCATGTTTGTCTTGGAATCTGAACCCCATCACATTGTAAATGTGAATCTGGAAAGACAGCAAATGTAAATGCCTCTTCTGAATGCTATTATTTAATTGCACTTGGAAAAAAATAATTTAAAGGATGAAAAGAAGGAGAATCATTAGAAACTAGCATTAATTAATCTTTGGCAGAATAGATTACATACTATATGTCAAAAGTAACCACTTATTTATTTCTGCATTACAGGGATCGCACCGGGGTCTGTTGTAATAACAGATACAGCTGTGGACTCCTTCTTTAAGCCCAGATTTGAGCAGGTAATCTTGGACAACATTGTCACCCGAAATACTGAACTTGACAAGGAACTGGCTGAGGAACTGTTCAACTGCAGCAAAGAAATTCCCAACTTCCCAGCTCTCATTGGACATACAATGTGTACCTATGATTTTTATGAAGGTGAGAAGAATTTATAAATCATGAAATCAATTCTTTGTTATTCAAACATAATTTATAGCAAAAATTCATTTTTGAAATTAATAGTAGGGAATTAAAAGGAACTGAAATGGCCTTTTTAACTTCCAAAAGCATAGGAACATAAGGACATAATAAGCAAACCTATAGTAAGTATATATTGAGAGCAGGTTCAGTCCTCCAAGAACAATTGAACAGTAACATGCAATTAATGATGTTAGCAAAATCTTATCTCTGTTATGCTTTCAATTTCAACTCTGGGAGAAGGTGAATAGGCTGATTCTATGTTCCTGCCATTTTGAGGTACAATCACATATACCTCAAAAGGGATCTGGTACTCAGAGAAGAGTGGGGCCCAGAAAATGGGAAGAAATATTTAGGAGAAGAATTCCAAAGGGATGGATGATATCAGAATGATCCTTTTTCTCTCAGCAATGATTGAAGTGTTCTCAAATCAAGTTGAGGGACAAATTGAAGGCAACTGTTAAGTATATTTTGCTACAAGGGGTGAGGGGCCAAGAGAAAAAGTGTCAAGATCAGACCCTGCTCATTCCAGAAGAAAGAGTCGAATCAGGGATGGTACCATTACTTGGAGGGCATTCTAGAAATACTGTTGTGTTGTAGTATGTTCATCAAACTACATATTATTTTATTTTAAATCTTTTTTCTCCTTTGGACCAAACAGACTATTATATTAAAAAATTTTGTGAATCTTTATTGCAAACTTTATTTTTTCTTTTAAAAATATTATATTTTATTAATTATGCTATTATGGTTGTCCCAATTTTTCCTCCTTTGCCCTCCTCCACCCAGCACCCCTGCAACTCCCTTATGCAGTCCTCACCCCATTGGCCATGTCCATGGGTCCTGCATATATGTTCTTTGGCTACTCCATTTCCTATTCTGTACTTTATGTCCCCGTGTTGTTCTGTAACTACCAAACTTTTTTTTGTACTTTTTAATCCCTTCACTCTTTTCACTCAGTTCCCCCCATGGCCCTCCAATATGGCAACAATTAAAATGTTCTCTACATCTTCAATTCTATTTCTGTTCTGCTTGTTTGTTTATTTTGCTTTTTAGATTCAACTGTTGATAGATATGTATTTACTGTCATTTTATGGTTCATATTTTTTATTTTCTTTTGCTTCTTCTTAAAGAAGGCTCTTTAATATTTCATGTAATGCTAGTTTGGTGGTAATATACCCCTTTAGTTTTTTCTTCTCTGGGAAGTTCTTCATGGGTCCTTCGATTCTAAATGATAGCTCTGCTGGGTAGAATAATCTTGGTTGTCAGTCCTTGCTTGCCATAACTTTGAATATTTCTTGCCAATCCCTTCTGGCCTACAGAGTTTCTTTAGAGAAATCAGCTGACAGTCCTATGGGGGTTTCCTTGTAGGAAATTAACTGCTTGTCTCTTCTGCTTTTAAGATTCTCTTTGTCTTTAACTTTTGGCATTTTAATTAGGATGTGTTTTGGGATGGACTTTTTTGGGTTCATCTTGTTTGGGACTCTCTGTACTTCCTGAACTTGTATGTATATTTCATTCACCAAGCTAGGGAAGTTTTCTTTCATTATTTTTTTCAAATAGGTTTCCAATTTCTTGTTCCCGCTCTTCTCTTTCTAGCAGCCCCATGATACAAATGTTGGTATGCTTGAAGTTGTCCCAGAAGCTCCTTACACTATCCTCATTTATTTAGATTCTTTTTTCTTCTTGTTGTTCTGATTGGTTGTTTTTGACTTCCTTATATTCCAAATCACTGATCTGATTCTCAGCTTCATCCACTCTACTATTGATTTCCTATAAACTGTTCTTCATTTCAATTATTGCATCCTTTATTTCTAACTGGTTCTCTTTCATTTTTAAGTTATATATGGAGATAGGCTATAATATCTATAAATGTTATTTCAAGTTAGTAACATTTTATTTTATGACATATGTATTATAGAATGGGGAGCATGTTGGGTCTGATAGGGTTGAAACTCTCTGTCATAAACCCCTTGCCTCTTTGTTGGGATGGGTTTTAGCCAGAGCTTGCACAGGACAACCTGTTGGAATCAGTGTTTCCTTTGGCCTTCATAGAATTTTTAAAATATGAATTCTTTTGCCAACATTTATAATTTCTTGAAATTTCACATGAAAATCCATAGCTTTGGACTTTTGAAATAACATAGCATTAAAAAATATAAAATACATGGCAGCCTGGCCAGCCCCAGCCTGCATCCCGGGGTACATTCAATGAAGGTGAGGTGAGGCTGCTCCTGGACCACCCAGGCCTCATTGACAATACCTGCTTGGCTTCTGGACCTCTGCGCTTGAATTGGCTTAAATAACGTTCTATTAGAGGTGTTGGCAGGAAGCCCTAAGGAGGAAGGAACAAGGAGAAGCAGATAGCTAGAGTGGGAATAACCGAAAAGATAAAAAGAAAGGAAAGGAAACAAATAATGGATGGTGACAGAGTCCTAGTGGCCTCCCTGCTTCAGTCCAGGCCATGCTTGGGAATGGGGTCTGTCTCCAGTGCCTGCAGGGTGGATGAGGAGTTAGAGCATCAGACATTTTTTCTACTGCCTTCTAGGCCCACTGGTTGACACAGGGTGAAATTAAGTGACAATGAACACTGAGAGCAGCCTAGAAGGGAAAAGGTGATCACAACGGGGTGGCAGACAGCCTGAGAGCTGTGTGGCAGAGAAGAAGGTGGGCAGATGGAATGTCTGTTTTTGGTCACCACTGTCACCATGGGCAGATGGAGAGTTGCAATGTCTGAACCATTGTCCTGCTCCTCAAGCAGCTCAGAACATAGTGAGGTTTGAACTCTCTTCTTCTCTGCTAACACCTGGCCCTGGGCCACTGCCCAGTCATGGGCACCACCTGAGATTTTCCTCAAAGGGCAGGTCTCTCAGTGACCCTCAAGTTCAAAGTTTTCTCTTTGAAAGGAACAAGTAATCTCTGGGGTGATAATTTGGCACTGCGTGAATATCCTGTAACTCAACTGTCTTTTATGCAATGATTTTAGCATAGGTGGCAAAATGATGTTTTTTCTAATTCCGTTATCCCTGAGCACAGTCCTGGCTGCTGTGGCCACTCAATGGTTACTTGCCTCAGAGCTGGGACGCTCAGCACCATGGAGACAACTCTCTGCATAGGAGACTCTCAAGTCAGGCACAGCCTTGCTCCTGGTCCAATGATAGGAAGACGCGCATGTCAGTATTTGTCCTGCCTGGCTTGGAGGCCTGAGAGGTCAAGTCAGCTGCAGAGCACTCTCCCAGACAGCAAGCCTCCTAATGATGTCTTTGCCACTGTGAAAGGATTTCAAGTTGCTAAATGTTCTCCATTCTCTTTCAGGCCAGGGGCGACTAGATGGAGCATTGTGCAGCTTTTCCCGAGAAAAAAAGGTAGATTACCTGAAGAGAGCATATAAAGCTGGTGTCAGGAATATTGAGATGGAATCTACAGTGTTTGCAGCCATGTGTAGGCTTTGTGGCCTAAAAGGTAAGTCTTTTATGAATGCCTAGAGTAAAAGGCTCTTCCTTCATTAAGGTGCTTTCACTCTACAGGAGAGGAAAAAGAAGTCCAGCTATATATTACCTTGGGTTGAAGGCATGTCTTACAATTATTTATATTATGGATTATCTCACAATATCTTATGAGTGGACAGGACATTATTCCCATTATGCAGATGAGGAAAACAAGCCTCAAGGATCAAAATCAAGTTGTACAAAGTTACCAGCTAGTGCTTTGTTTAGCCAGAATTTGACAAAAAGTTCTGCTTTCTTCATTCTGGTAGTGGCTGCTATTTTCTATTATAATCGAATTTATCTAGACATGATACAAATAAAATACTTCAAAAGTAGTCCGCCAAAGGACAAAACATCAGTGGAGTAGTAGTATGTTTTTAAAAGTTAACTTACATGCAGTTTTGCTTTCCCTGACTTTTTATTTTGAAATATTTCAATAATACAGAAAAACTGAAATACAAGGATAATACATACCTATTTGCCCTTTACCAAGATTCAACAATTTTTAATATTTTCCACATTTGTGCATGCCCTTTAAAAATACATACAGTATACATATATATGTATGTATATTAAAGCACCCCATTTGCTTTTCTTCCTGAATTGTCTATTAATGAATAATAAACATTATATCACCTAACTCTTATTCCTCAGCATCATTTCCTAAGACTAAAAATATTCTACTAATGACCACACAACCATTATTAAACTGAAAAAGGCTAAAAAAGGTAAAACAAGTTGCATAACATCACCCATTCCATATTTAAATTTTCCTAAAAGTGTCTTTTATAGATTATTTTCTTATCCAATATCAAATTAACTTTCTACATTATATTACTTAATTGTTGCATCTCTGTAATTTTTATATCTAGAATATTCCCCTTACTTGTTTTTCTCAATACAGTGGATTTTTTTGAAGATTCAAGGTTATTAACTTGGAGAAGAGCCCATGTTCTAGATCTGTCTGTGTGTTTCATCATGGGGTTCACTTGCTCATCTATGCTGCATGTTTTCTATAAAGTGGGAGTGAGGTCTAATGATCTGATTAGATAGAGCTGCATAGCAAGAACAGTTCAAAGACATGTGAATTTTCCATTGCTCTGCATCAAGGAGATGTAATGCGAGGATGTCCCACTGGTTCAAGTGGTAACTGCTGTCTCCCTCCATTTAGAAGGTCAAGTTTTCTCTTTGTAAGTAGCAGATGATCTCTATGATGATAGATATAATTTGGCACTGCGTGACTATGCTATAACCCAACCATCTTCTACCCAATGATTTTAGCATAGGCTGCCAAAATAATGATTTTCTCATTCCATCATTCCTCCTATGTTTATTAGCTGGCATTCTTTTTTAAGAACAGCTTTTCCTCCTCACACACCTTTCTGCCTCTTTTTATCTTTCTTTTTCTTTTCAGTTGGGGAAAATCATTTTTGTACTGTGGATTTTGTTCAAATCAATGTGTTACAAACAGTTTCTGTCATTATTATTATTATTATTATTATTATTTATATTCAACTTATCCCAAATTTGGCCAGGAAGAACCCCCTCAGTTGTACCCTTTTTTGTCCTTTTAAAATAAACCTATTAGCTCTTGAGAACTTTCTCACTTTCAGGCACAACAGAATTCTAAGGCACAAGCTGCACTTTCCTTGCCTCAAATCTGGAATCAACTGTTTCTCCAGGAAGCTCTTGTTCCTTTTGGTGGAGAATAGTAATAAGAAACCAGATTTGGGTCCAGCCCGTATTTTTATTTTTTGGTGAAATTAGTTCAATAGAAACACCAATCTTTGACTGGCACCAACAAAACTTTTGAAGTAAAACATAATTTTCATGAGCACTGGGCGGTATAACTATTCTTTCTGGTTTTAAATTATTTTCATAGTCACCTTCTAGATTTAAATTTTTTAAGTTTCACTTATGGAAGAGAGTAAAGCTGCAAAGTGAATAAAATATTCTTTATTAAGTTGACTATGAAAGCCTTAGATATAAAGCATAGTAACACCATCTATAATAATGGTTTTGAGTGGGGTGCAGTCCCCCAATATTAATAATGATGTCCAAAAAAATGCTGGAGCAACTTTTTTCAGAATTTACAGTTTTACATTTCACACAGCATGATCTTTTTTTTCCCAGAAAAAGTCTCTAAAATATGTTATTGACTCAGATGCGTTTGATAGTGTGTCTACTGAGTGCATGGCATAATAAGGTGGCTAGTTTTTAAATCAGATTTTGGTTCATAAGATTTATTCCTAAACAAAGAAAGACTTTCTTCTGTGCCTTAACAAGGGGCTTGAGTGCCCAAGCACTGGGGATACAGCAGTGGACACCGCCGACAAAGTCTCTGGCCTCCTGGAATCTAAAGAGGGAGACAAACAATAACAAAGACTAATGTCGAGTAACATAGTGATATGTTGGATGCTGAAGAGAGCTGTGACTAAAATAAGGCATGGAAAGGAACAGGGATGACCAAGGTAAGGAGGAAAACCATGATATTAACTAGCACAGTCAGGGAAGGATACATGGAGAAAGTGTTGTTTAGAAAATGCCACGTGGACATCAGGGCAAGAGCAGTCTGGAACATCAAGTCTAAAGCCACCAGGCATGAGCATACAGGGTATGTTGGCAGCACCAGGAGATCAGCATAGGTGGCTGCAGGGGAGCGATGGCAGTGGCGGACGGGAGGACATGGGAGGTGCAGGTGATGTGGTCACTGTGAAAAGTGTGACTTTCACTCTGAGCAAAATGGGAAGTCATTGGAGAGCTTTGAATAGATAAGTGACCGGATATGATTTGCAGTTTAATAGGACCACATTGCTTGCTGATTTGGGAAGAACCTACTGGGGCCAAGGGTAGAAGCACAGAGAACAATATGAGGGCAAATACATCAGTCTAGGGAGAGGTGGTGGACCAGGGTGAGCCCAGCGGAGATGGTGAGCAGCCTCATTCTAGGTACGTTTTGAAGGCAAATCTAGTAAGATTTGTCGACAATGTGATTGGGAGAGAGAAAGAAAGGCATTAAGAATGATACGTAGGTTTTTGGCCCGAACAACTAGAAGGATGGAATTGTAACTAGGAGAGAGGAAATTAGGTGAGAATTTGGAGCTAAGCAAGCAGGTGGACTTATGATTCTGGAGTTTAAGCAAGAATTTTGGACTGGAGAAGTAAAATTGTAAGTGGACAGTGTATAGTTGACAATTAAAGCCACGTAACCCATGAGATGACAAAACAAGTGAGTATAGAAACAGATGAAGAAAGGTCCTTGGTTACAAGTTAAAAGTTAAGGGAGGTGAGGAAGATCCAGCAAAGGAGACTAAATGGGAATGGCCAGCACCATTGGCAGAACATCTGGAGAGTCTCATGTCCTGGTCCCCAGAAAAGAAACCTTCAAAGAAGCAGTAAAGAATTATAGCATGTTAATGCTTCATTTGATCACAAGTGGAATTTTAATTTCAATCTATTTGAATATACAAAACTATCAACAAAATGTATGTGGTAACTTTTTTACAAATACATTTTAGAAAGAAGTTACAGTTCAGAAGAGATTAATTGTAGAACCACTATCCTTAACTACTTCCATCTCTCAGGGTGCATGTACAAGCAAATCTTTGTACTACACGGGTGAAGGATGCAAATGCATCTTTGTCTTCTTTAGAAGGTCATCACTAACACCCCCTTTCAGAGAAACAATACCATCTGATTTTCTCTCCACATTTAGCGAGAGTGGGAACACCCGCTGAGAGCCCCTTGATCTTGCCTAAGAGCAGTCCAATCAGCACACAGCCCGCAGGAACACCTGGATTCAGACATTTCTGTTACAGGAAACACTCTTCACATTTCCTTATTATAGAAACATCAAGTGGCCGTTTGAGTCCCAGCCTAATATGCAAATAGAGCAGAATTTAGTAACCAGTTTAAACTCAAAATGCCCAGTACAAACACGCTATCCTGATGTACGAGTAAGTTTGGTGATGACCATGAGTTCCTTCTTAAGAGGCTCTGATTGGCAGCCAGAGAGAGTTCTGGGCTTGTGAACCCTGGACCCAAGTCTTTCTCTCTTTAAACTCTGCCAAACTTTAACTTTAAACTTAAACTTTTCTCTCTGCCAAAACTTCAGAGAAATGACTCTGTTGTAAGGACTTTTCTGTCCTTGATGCAAATCCTTATGACCTTGCTTTCTCTGCCACCTACAGGCGTCCTCCAGGATTCCTTCCTGTCTAGCTTGCTCTGTCCTGGCTACCTGCTGTATTTTTCTTTTCCTGCTGCTCTTGGTAGCTGATTTCGACCTGCCAATAGTGCACTTGCTGGCCACTGCCGCAGCCCTGTCACTGAGCAGACACTCTGGGCTGCCAACATTCTCACTAAAGGTTGCATCTGTACCTTTCTAGTTCTGTAGTCCTTTAGAGTATTTCTGTCTGAATTTCTCTGCGGTGAAGACTCCACTGTTTTGAACGCTGAATTCCTGGTACACTGCCCCTTGGAAGGTCGGCCACCGAGAACACAGAAAAAAGCCCCATCCATGCATATGGTCCTACCATGGTCCCATCTTTTTTCACTTCATAACATCTGTCCCCCATAGTAGTGAAGTTTGGAAAATCTCTGTGTGAGCTAGAAAAGCTTGCTTAGGGGAAGGGCTGAGAGAACCTTCACAAGCAGCTGTTTTAATGCAGAGGAAGTTAGGGAGGACATAGGGAAGCAACACAGTGGCCTCCTGGGCTTGCTCCCCATCCCCCTCCATCCTGCTCCCACTGTGAGTTATGGTCCAACAGACCCTGTCTCTCCAGGCAGCCTTCTCTAATGGCCTTCCTGTCCCTTTAACACTACCAGATGACTGAATCCAATCTGATTTCAAACTAGGGTGATGATGGCTAATGGTTTATTTAAACAAAGGTCTTCTAGAGACCCATTTTCCTAACTCAGAGGAGTCACTCACTGAGTTTGGATCAATGCAGAAATAGACCTTTCTGTGTCCACCTGAGACAAGGAGGCCTTGGATCCATGTGGATTACCATTTCTTATCTGTGTGACTAATAAAGCATCTCACCATAAATCTTACTTTGTCAGAGAAGCCTTGAACGCCTACCTGAACTAAACCTATTCACATTCATTCTATTCACTCACTCACTCATTCTACTCCATTTCTCTGCATATAAACTATATTTTTAGTTTCCTTATATATTAACTTACATATTACTTTACATATATTAATGCTTGAAGGTACGAGTATGTATTTAATATCTCTCTCCATTATAATATGAGCACCATGAGAACAGGGATGTTGTTTGTCATTTTCTTGCTATATCCCCAGCGCTTAGAATAACATCTGCTTTATGGGCATTCAGTACATACTCGTATTTGCTAAATGAATGAACAAACAAATGCAAAGAATGACTACTCAACCCTTATATACCATGGGAAATGGCTATAGCAAATTCAACTGGTTTCTTCATTCCCCAGCTTCGTTAGAAGCTTGGAGTTGCCTAAAGGATGTTGTAGTGCCTCTTAATTGTCCAAGTAGGAAGAAACAAAGCATTAAATGGAAGCCTCTCTTTTTTCTGTAAGGTTCATACAATATTTCTGCTTTATCTGTAGTCCCAGAATCTCTTGATATTTCCTACGTGGACGAACTGTTCAAAATGGGGCCACAGACACCCCTAAGTCATTCTTGTTATCCTGAGCTCATTATCCTGAAAAAGAATAGTGGGAATCCAATCTAGCTTTAACAAAGATTTGGGAAGAGAAATAGTGGCATTCACAAAATTATTCTATGTAGAAAGGCTGAATCTTCAGAATACTGTAAACCCACCATACAATGCTGCATAAATGCACTCATCTATGCTTTTATAATATGTCCTATCCCTCTCTTAGAGCAACACCACTTTAATTGAACCCCTGACATTCTGATTAAAGGTGGTAATCCTTTTGCGCTGTGAATTTGTGATAAGTATGTTCAATTTGTATCCATTTTTAAAAGACAGTGCTGCTTTTTGACACACACTTGCTTGCCTGGCAATATATGAAACCTAATATTTATTTAAGATTAGGTTCTGCTTAAATCCTCTTTGTCTTTGGTGTTTGCAGTACTCACAGTGGTTTTTCTTTAGGGTAAAGGAAGAATTCAGTGTTATTTCTTTTGACAGATACTGGTAACTTGGGGGATATATTTAGTCTTTGTAATATTACTTTATTACAGTTCAGTGAAAGGGAGCAGAATCTTGACTTTAATTCCATTTTATTTTCTTCTGCTGGTCCCGGCAATGAAAGATATTGGGCTTTGGGAACTGCATGGTGATCACTGATAAAGTAAAAAAGATATTACAACAAGGATTAAAGATTATATTTCGTGTGAAGCTATAGCATTTCTTAAATCTAAAGTGGAAAAAAGTCAGGGTTTTCAAATGTTATTACACGAGGGTGTGAGGCAACCAATTGCAGTTCTCTTTACCCTTACAATAGAAAAAGAACTGTGTCTCAGAGAGGTTCTCACATTTAAAAAGTAGCTGAGCTGGGATTTGAACTCAGTCCTGTCTGACTCCGGGCCCCTTTGCATCATGCTCTGATGCTTCTTCCCAGTAGCCTCCCAAGGGAATACAAGGTTCATAGTCTTTGCTCAGAACAACCGCAGCCACAACAAAAAGTAGATTCACTGCCCTCTCGCTCCCCTCACCCTTAATTCTGCATATCAGAGATAGAGCCTAGGACTCTGTGTTATTATCAAGTTCCAGTTTTGTTGGAGGTAGCCAGGGGAACACATTTTGAAAGACACTAATCTGGAAGAACAAATTATTTCTATGCTGCTTAGTTTTGATCAGCCCCTTTGCATATAAATTTTCTCCACATGGTTACTGACTTGCAGCCAATGGCCTGAGATTGATGTCTCAGGAGACAGAGGCGGCTCAGAGGCTCTGAGCTGTTGAGATTTCTATGCTCTATACCCTAGGCATACAGGGGGTATAGATGGGGTCTGCTTCATAAGCTCAAACCTTGAGGGGTGAAGGGGGCCATGAAAAGGGCCAGGAGAAGTGGAAGAGGAGCTGTCATAAGAGCCAGGCTGGGAATTCCCAAGCTCCCCTTCGCTGCTTTGCCATTTTCTGAGGCCCAGCCCTGTCTGGGTCCTGCTGTCCACAGGGGAATTTGTGCCTGGCCTTGCTGTCTTTGCCTACAGTTCATGGGAAAACTTCCCTGGAAGTCCATTCCAAATCAGAAAACGGAGTGTGCTAAAGCAGGCATCCGTGGATTCCTAAGGATTCATGGGTGGGCTCAGGGGCCCTGAACCCCTGAAATTAAACACACATATTTTGCGTGTACATGCATATGTGTATGTGTATTTTGTGAAAAGAGATTCCAATGACAACTTTCATCAGATTCTCAGGGGGACCATAAATGATTCCAAAAACCTGAGACTCACAGAGAGTTCCTGGTACGCTGAGGCCTTGAGCCCCACATTCATACTGGTGTGTGCCCAGCACGTTGCTGCCTGATGTCATCTGCCGACAACCTCCTTGGTGACAGCCAGGTCACTAAATGTCCCTCCACAGGAGCCACCTTCCCTGCCCAATCTGAGGATTATGGTAGCAAAACTGTCAGACTTAATTTTGACAAATTGTTTTGGGCAATTAGTTCCTTTTAATTGCTCATGGAAATAGTAATTGTCAGTGACAAGATTATTATATGCTGCTTGTCCATGGGGCCTCTAGGGTCAAAAAAACACCACTGAGATTGCTATGACCTGTTCTTTTCCATCTCTGGTATTACCCTTGAAATCTCCACACAAGATGTTAGCCAAGTTAGCTCCCACTCTGCAAAAAGTACAGAGCGCGGGTTTCCTTTAATTCTTCTTCCAAGGGAAGGATTAGGAAACAGCTTTCCACAGTTCCCTGCTACCAACTGCCCATGCCAGTCTTCACAGACTTGCTGATCCTTAACTTGAAAAGCTGGGGATGTTTCTAGCGCTTCGTTTGCTTGTTTACCTATTCAGCCAAGTTGTTTGACAACCAAGTGAGTTTTGAATAAATAGGATCCTAGGTGATGAAATAGTTAACTCAGCTCACGTTGAATATTTTCATTCCTTTTCACTTCACTGAACAGGAGGGTCAGTTTGACCGATAAGTCAGAGCAGGTCCGCCTAATGGTTCACCATGTGCCAGCTCAGGTGACAGGTGGACGGAAAGTAGAGAACTCTTAGCAGTTTAGGAAGCTGGGGATTGGTTGGCTATTTACTGGCTGTGCATACTGGGCCATTTGTTTGACCTCCCTAAGTCCTCATTTCATTATCTGTCAAAGGGGATAAAAATAATAGCTAGCTTATGGTACAGCTGTAAGGACTAAATGATATTATAAATACCTGGCAGATAGTAAGAAGTAAACCAAACAGAAAAGATAGCATCTATTATAAATACAATCCATTTCTCCTTCCCAAATCCGGATCTTATAAAGAAGTCTGAGATAGGGGAGAGGTCAAACAAATGAATATTACACTCCAGCCCAACTTTATCTCCATGCCCTCAAAGCCTGTTAATGTAACCGCATCTACCCCTATCCACACTGAAATCCTTTTTTGAATGCTACAGATGAAGATAGAGATTATTACACCATCAGTTCCTATTGGTCGACACTGATTTCCATGTGTATAACCATATTCCTTGAAATGAAAGATTTCATGTAAAACTGACAGAAAAAAATTTGTAGGAGACCCAGTTTTTTTCTCTGGTTCTTCTTGATGAAACAAACCAAAGAAACTGCCAATCATGGTGACTTTTCAAAAATGAAAGTTTCAGTTTGTTTGTATGTTTTTAGAAAAAGATGTTTGTTCTTTTCCCTTACTTTTAAGTCTTTCAGGATTTTATTCCCATTCTTTAGAAACTAAATGCTAATAAATTTGCTTCTTCATGGAGTTGTTTCTTATACTTAAGCATTTCATTTAGTATTTTTCTTCTCAAATGTAATGAGGGTTAATGCTCACCTTTAATGATATTTCCTGAGGTCAGCGTTCATATCTTTTATATTTACTTAACTCTTCAGTAATGGATGCTGCAGGCAGACTCAAACATTGCACCAAGGAGTAAAATGTCATCTCAGGAACAATGGCTATCCCTCCAGTTGTATCCTCAAGTAAGAAAAGCCTTATCTAACTGGAAATAGGACGGGAAGCTGGAGGTTTGAGTGTCCTGAACGGCAAGGATCCCTCCTTGTTCTTGACCTAACATAACGCTTTCCCTTAATCTAGCCAATTGTAGGGGAAAGGAGAAAGGAGAATGCTTAAAATTATTTCCATTAATTTAATTAGATCGAGTCTTTGGTAAGAGTCCATAGAAATATGAGTTACATATATTCAAGGCTAGAGGATTGCCTAGGTTGCATCTACATGATGGAAAATAACACAAGGCGCACTAGGGACATTAAGATGTTTGGCTAATGTTCCTACACAAAAGACAAACCCATTTGCTCAGTAATGGTGTGGGTTGCTCTTCTAGCTGCTGTGGTCTGTGTGACACTTCTGGACAGACTAAAATGTGACCAGATCAACTTGCCGCACGAAGTTCTGGTGGAGTACCAGCAACGGCCTCAGCTCCTAATCGCCAACTTCATCAAACAGCGGCTTGGACTTCATGACCAGACGTCGTAACTGGGCCAGCCCAAGTCCTCCCGGCAAGCTAATAGTTCTAGTTGCAATGTTGATGTTATACATTATTTGTGACATTTTCGTATAGTTTTCATCCACATGCTAAAATCATAATAGAGTGGTTTTATAAAACTCCTTTCTCCTAAGAAAAAAAATGAATTTATCTTAAAAGAATTTCATACATACATTAAATCAAATTCAAATTTTATCTAAGAAGTCAGTCTAATAATTAAACATTTAAGACTCCTGGATTGTGACATTTGGGGTTTCATATGCAGCATTAATTAAACTTACATCAAAATAGATCAGCCATTTGTAGAAATGGTTACCAGTCACTGTTTCTGAAACCAATCCAGAAATTCATGTTAGAATGTTGTCAGGCACTTCTAGGTGTTGGACAAGTGACAGGAATTGATCATGCACATTCAAAATATTTACAGAAAAAAGAGTCAGTGTAATGTAGGTTTATGGGAAATATGACTGCATTTCTTTTTTCCCCCTGCATAATTTCAGCGTACCACTGAGTAGGATTAGAGGCATGTTTGCCTTTGTTTGTGATTTTATCGTGAAATATAATTACACGTTTATGTTCAAGTGAAAACTCTCAGTAGTGCAAAGATTTTCATTTTTCTTCAGAAATCTCAAATAATTAAATCAAGTTTTTTCTTTTAAGGAAATGTATTTTGAGGAGGCTGTATTTTTTATTTTATTTCAATATTTAGCTAACAAGCTGAGGAATTAATAACAACTGGATTTAGACTTGAGTTCAAAATGTTAAAGTCATCCTTTTTTGTGACTTTGAAGTGGGTCCTGCTCACATGCTGCCTATACTCCTATTCAAGGAGACTGTCTGGGAGGCACAGCGTCACTTACAGGTGCACCCTGCTCGCTGAGCGGTGCCGCCCAGGGGTTCTCCTAAAGCTGACACATGAAGAGGTCAGGAGGCGTAGATGGAGGATGGGTGGAGGAGGGATGACAATTTTGTATAGTGTGTCACATTGTGTACATATATTTATATGGCTGTAACTAAAATAAAGTTGATTTCAACCATGACAGAGGTTATTTGTATCTTTAATCAATGACAAGGAACAATCCCCTGAGAGGTGCATCAGATTGGGAACTTATTTTGGTAATAGGTATTCTTGCAGTGCAATTTTAAGGCACCCCAATAAGTGGCCAAAGATCAAAGCTAAAAGTAAAGTAGAATAATATTGTCATCAGTAGTGGAGTATTCACTTTGCTTCATACTTTACTAGACCAAGTAGAAATAACTTCAGAATGCTCTCCATAAGCGTCCTTTCTTTTCTTTTTTGCATTTGTGCAAATATATCATTTATTTATTTACTTACTTACTGATTTTAAATGTATTGGGTGACATTGGTCAATAGGACCATATAGGTTCCAAGTGTACCACCACCCAGAGTGAACCCTCTTCCATCACCGAATGTTGTCCTCCTTTACTCCCCAAACCCCCTCCCATGCAAGCTTCAAACCCCATACGTTTGAACTTCTTTCTTGTCTACTCCTGGAAAATCATATTTATTTTCTGTTTTATTGAGAGACGAGGAGGCTATGGAAGAGACAGAAGAATGGAATAGTTACAGTTAATTGTCCTCTCCGCTCCTGACTGCCAGTGCGTGTGCCCTGTGGGTGCATCTGCATGCGTTCGTGTATGTGGGTTTTTCCCACTAGTATTTCCTGTTTCTGTAAATGGCATCAGCTGCACAAGTCAGAAACCCCGGATGTCTGATGTCAGTCTCCTTGTTTCCCACTCCAATCAATTGCCAAGCTCTATTAATTGATTCTTCTAAATGCTTCTGTATTTGACCACCGATGGAAAGACTTCTTGGTCCTCAAACGAGATTTCTCCTAGCCTCGCTCATGGCCTCCCCCAGCGCCCTCTGCTGCCTCTTTAAAGTATCCATCGCAGCTTGTGGTTTGGATCGTGTAATTAATGTGGAGTGCCTAGACTATAAAGTTCGTGAGGGCAAAGGCTGTACTTGTTTTATTTATTGCTGTACCCCACGCATCTAGACTAGGGCCTGTCCCATAAAAGATGCTTCATAAATATTCGTTAAATGAAGAATAAATACTCTTCCTGGTATTTCCCTTATAAACTCTAACTGAAATGTCCCCAGTCTTCACAAGGCTCATTCTTTCCTTATCCAGATCCTTGTCAGCACAGCTTTTGCTGCTTGTCCCTTCTACCCCATCTCACGTTGTTGCGAGGAAGTCCTCTGCACCATCAGCGTAGAGCTGTGCTGCCGTGTAGAACTTGTTTTCGCAGTAGCATATGGCTTTTTCTCTGTCAAAACCAAGCCCCAAATTCACCTCCTTCATGAAAGTCTCCAAGTTTATTTTCTCCTTAGCCCCTCAAACCTTCCCTTCTTGTTCCTTTAGAACTAGGGTTGCACTAGGAAGACAGCAATTTGTTCTTATTCATATGTTGTATTGGGAATATTTGTCCTTTTTCATGAACTTAGGTTATAACTGCCCAGCTTGTCTTCATGTGGGAGGTGCAAGTCTCCTCTCTGCCTCAAGACTGCCGTGGAGTTTGTCCCCTGCATTCACTGACTGTGCCTGCCCTTAGTCTGGGCAGCGCCATCGCTCCTCACCACTAACCCCGCCCTCTCCGCTGTCCAGTCTTCTCCTTGAACACCCTTCAGGAAACAGATATGCTTGCAAAAACTCTGTTTGGTGCATTGTTTGTGTGGGGTTTTTTTGTTCATTTATTCATGTAAACACATGTTCTTCCTTCTTCCCCCCAAAACTGGAAACAGTTTACCAGGATAAATAAAAGCACAAAGTATAAATTAGAGTAAGTGGGAAAGAAGAAGGAAAAGCAAATGGGAAGGGGCACCTTTGGCACAAAGCCTGAAGCTACTCCCCAGAAGCGTCTCATGTAGTCTATGCACTGACTTGGCTCTGGGCTGGCTAGCAGTTGCCTTATAAATAGAAAAAAAATTACTGTCTTTAAGATAAAATGTGAATTAATGGTCAGGAGAAGAACAATTAGTCTTGATTCTGAGTGAGAACACAGTGGTGTAGCGATGAGCGTGGGCAGGGGTGGGAGAGGGCCGAGCTGTCACTGTGCCCCCTCCAGGACACTGCCCCGTGGCTCTCCACACCAGTGCACGAAGGCGTCATCAAGGAAAACTTGAAATAAGCTTGTTGGGGCCCCACCTCTGAACAACGATAAATGAGAATCACTGGCAGTGGGCCTGGGAAGCCCTGCATAAACATTTTCCCTGCGGATTCGCAACCTGCATTGACAGCCGCTGATTTAGAAGTTTGGATAATCCATGAATCTGTCAGACACTCCCCCAGCTGAACTTCTAAGACCACAGGCAGTGTCTCCATTGAAATAGGTAAGGAGCAAGCCCTTTCACTTGAGTCTTACTCCTGGACATGAGGAACATAAATATATATATATTTACTTATATATGTATAATTGCATAACTATATATATAATTGTATAATATATATTATACACACTTATATGTATAATTGAAGTATAACTGAAAATAAAATTGATGATTTGATATATATATGTGTGTGTGTGTATATATATATATATATATATGCATTGTGAAATGATTACCACAAGCAGGTTAATGGACACATCCATCACCTCTCATGGTTACCTTTTCCCAATAGCCAAGATATGGAAACCACCTAATTGTCTGTTGATGAAAAAAATGTATAAAAATATTATATATAGTGTATATATAATAGCATATTATTCAGCTATAAATAAAGAAAATTTGGCATTTGTAACAACATAAGTGAAATTGGAGGGCAATATGTTATGTGAAATAAACCAGTCAGAGAAAGAAAAATGCGATACGATATTATTTACATACAGAATCTAAAAAATCAAATCAAATCATAGAAAAAAATAGGAGAACAATGGTTGCCAGGGACTGGGGGGAGTTGGGGGGAGTGGAGAGATGTTGGTCAACTTGGTCAAAGAGGCCAAGGGGTACAAACTTTTAGTTATAAGATGAATAAGTTCTGCAGATCTAATGTACAGCATGGTGACTATAATTAGTAGTGAAGCATTGTACACTTGGAATTTGTTTAGAGTAGATCTTAAATGTTCTGGCCACAAAATGAAAATCATTTTACAGCACCAGCAACTTAGCGTTTGGCACATCATAAAAGTGAATGATATATGTATATCATTCATTTATATGTATATATAAAATTACGTAAGTAGACATAATTCATTTGTATATTGTAATGGACTGCATTGTGTATCCCTCAGACACATAATTGAGATGGGGCCTATAAGGAATTAATTAAGGTTAAATGAGGCCATAGGGCGGAGCTCTGTTCTGATAGCGTTAGTGTCCTTATAAGAAAGGATACCAGAGAACCAGAGAACTTGCTCTCTTTCTCTCTCTTTACACAGGCACCAAGGAAAGTCCTTGTGAGGACACAGTGAGAAAGTGGCCATCTGAGAACTCTCGGCAAGCACTACATCATTGAAAACTTGATCTGGGATTTCTAGCCTCCAGAACTGTGAGAAAATAAATTTCTGCTTTTTAAGCCACCTGATCTGATTGACTAAGACACATACATATAATTCATTCACTCTTACTATGTGCCAGGTGCTATGCAAGTATATATAGTATATAAAAGTATACATATACACCAAGATAAGCAAAAACAAAACCACAGAAAAATAAATAAATAACAACTACATAGCTGACTGCCTGTCAGGTTAATTTTATCTGCATATGATTAGTTGACCAACCATTCAGAGCGATGTGTGTGTCTTGTTCAATACAGCTATGGGAGCTCATTAACAGCCACGACCAGCCCTTCCATGCCATGTTTCACTCCCAAATACCAACACGGTTGAAGCTTAATGATTGCTTTTTGGTCCAGAATAGACTAAATAACTTTCCCCGGCTTATTTTAACCTAGTTATAGAATGTTATTTAGTACTTTGTACCCTGTAGGTGCTTAATAAGGGCTATAAACTATCAATTTCAACAACATATCAATGTCAGTTTGAATTTTCTTCCTTTCTTTTAAAAAGTATAACTCTTGACATTTGGGACTCATTTTGCAGAAGGTTGATAAAATCTATGGACCCAATCCACAGGAAAAGGCACATTCTTATATATACTTCTGAATTTGCATATACTTTCATGAGTTCACATACCTCTTCAGCCCTGGGTCATGGCAGGACACCTGTGTCCCCTACCAAAGGCCACAGCTACTGTGGGTGGCCCCTGCCACACTCCTGTCTTCTGTGGATTCTTATAATTGTTCACCCTCCAACCCTCTTAGATGAGGTCTGGTAGCAGCTGTTCCCAGCTGCACCATCTTTTGTTATTCACTAAACCTGCTCACATCTGTGTAATAGTTCATCAGCAAGTTCTCTCTGTTCCCCAGTTCAGCTGTGCCATCTGGTTCCTGCTGGGAACGAGAATACATTGGGGAACCCAAAACCATTTTGAAAAACACTGACTTAAGAAACTGAAGTTATTCTATATGAAGATCTTTCCAATACAAATTTTTTTACTGCAAAATGTAGTAGTTTTCTTTTTAACTGGTAGAATACTTTTTAAGACAGTCCTTCATACAAGAATGTATTCATGCATTTAAAAATTCTCATGGAACTCTCCAGGGCTTGCAGCTTGAGAAACATGGTTTTTGACATATTTTCCTAGCTGGCTGCTGGGCATCACATGTATGATAGAATTGAAAGCTTGAGTAAAAGACAGATAAATGGCCTCTATTGCTTGCCTCCAAGCTACATGTCCCATCATCCTGTCATGGAATAAAATTAAAATAGTCTGACACGCCATTCTTCTTAAGGATCCTGTGTGCCTCTAGATGTCTACAGCACAAGTAGATTTTTTGAGGATTTGATTTACAATCTTCATTTCAGGATTAGAGATAAGTAAACTAATCTTTAGTTATTAGCGTTCGCTTTTTCCCTTTTTAAAAAATAAACAAACCAAGGCTTCTCTTACATCCTCCAGGACTTGCTCTATTTTCTAAGAATCTTAAAGTAATATCCAGTGGCTCCATAACCCAATGTCTCCTAAG